AAAAAAAAAAAAGAAAGAAAGAAAGAAAGAGAGAAAGAAAGAAAAAAAAAAAAAAGAAGAAGAAGAAGAAAACCATTGCAGATTGATACAATGAAATGTTTTGCAACTTTATGTAGTAATTACGATATTACGATGGCAAAAAAGAAGGCTTTGGTAACAAATTTTGAATTACAATTCATCGGTATAAAACTATTAATCACTTTTGCTGATAAAATTCTAACTTTTTTTTTTTTTTTTTTTTTCCTAGTGGAGGGCACTTGCTTATGCCGACATCGGCCACTCCTAAGGCCAGATGTAGTGGTCTCTTTATTATGAACGCACCTAATAGGTGGGCCATCTTTGCCTCCTATGAAGGGACAGACAATTTTACATCCATGCCTTCTCCGGGATTCGAACCCAGGCCCTTCGGTATCGCAATTAGGCTCCCCTAACCACTATACCGTCTGCGCGGCTGTAAAATTCTAAATAAAATATAGAATGTGAATAATTCATTAAGCTTTAATTAATTAAGTTAAATGTAATATATAAAGCTTCAATTAATTAAGTTTTCGGCGACGTTATAATTTTATCGCCAAATAAGCGAAATGTTTATTTTACGGTCAAATATTTTGAAATTTCAAAATACATATGCACTATCGTATACAAAATTTCTACTTTATTACGCTTTTTATATAATAATCTATATTAGTTTCGGATCTGTGTTACGTTTTGTATGCAGTTATTGATAACAGTATTGTATTTTGTTCAGTATGCAATATCATACAATGGATTAATAACTGAAAATCATTTTTAAGTAACTTGTAAGAAGTAAATATTATCAAGTAAAAAACAAAAATCTGTAAAACAAAACTGTCTTGAAAATAAAAACACCGAAGTTGCAAAACTAATCAATAGTTCACACATACGAAATGACAAATGCCAGCGAAATTTAGGATACAGATTACAAACCCAAATATGTGAAAAAATCAATTTCTGTTTCATATGCATTTTTCCAACTTAAAATCCCTAGTGGGATAAACTGATGTTGGATTTTTCCACGACGAAGGAGAATATAATTAGAAAAAAACAGAGCGATTATATAGATGGAAGTCTAGATTGATCAAGCACTGTATCGCGTAGGATAGTGCCATGTGTTAGAATCATGTTTGATATTATTTACAATAAATAACCAAATGGCACCTTGTACAGTATGAAACATATGACTCAGTATACAAAAAGGAAGACACTACATACATTCTATTCGTAAATACATCATTATCCTACTATGCACAATTAATAAGATATTGAACGAGAAATCGGGAAACGAAAATTTTATCTTTTCTTCTATTTACATGAGGACAGGAAACTTTGCATCGATAAACACAGAGTTTTCAGAAATACTTTTATCTGGTTTCAACATTTTATTAATCAGCCATATTCGCAGGGTGACTAAACCCATTTAAAGACGAATACTTCAAATCATGTGTTATGGATTACAATAATTTATATTCAAGTTCTAATTAACCGGGAGCGGATAAGTGGTGTTGTAAATTCAGCAGGCTCCTTTTTTTAAATAAGTCTCAGTTTTTTCTTGCGAAATGATGGAAAAATTAATAATGCAAATCTTTAGAATGAAACTGCTGAGGTGAAAAAAAAATGTATGGAACTGTGGGGGATAAGAGCAGTGCTAGCAAATGAGCAGTGCTAGCAACTTGCTAAAATATTATTCGAGAAGTGATTTTATAGAGAACAATATGCAGTTTAACTATATGTAATCCAGAATATGTAACTATAGCTAAATCTTTCACAAGGATAATTCACCAAGGCGCAAATTAGTTAATGTACATATGAATAGAGTTCTCGAGGTCGAGAGACAGCTTTTGGCATCTATCGTTACTTAGCTTTCTTAGCAATAATTGTTTCGTGAATGATTGAGGCCTGATCAGTAGATAAGTTTTACTTTGCTTCTTATTAATAAATGTTTAATACTTTAATTTTATGCGAACATTTAGTGAGAATTTCCCTCAGGCTGCGGAGATTTGATTTTCTATTGGTAAATTATTAGTTTGAAGTGCTGGTATTAAGCCTTCATTTGAGTTTATTTTCTGTATTTTGGAAGTTACGGAGAGACGATAAATCGTCTGTAGAGTTTTAGCAGAGTAATAGGGAATCGTACGAAGCTATCAATTAAATAATAAACGAGTAAAAAAACGTTAAAATTGAAAAAAAAAATATGTGGACTTCCTGTATAATTCAGTGACTGTTAACTACGAGAATACAGATAACTGCTCATGTATCATCGGGTATTTCTACAATATATGTATTCATAAGATTTTTAAATCCCTTCTAAAATTTAATTGCATATCTAAATGCTACTTAATCAGCATCGGGTGTTTCATTCTAGTTACATGGTACCTTTCAAAAAATACTGCTTACCATTGTAGAAGAATATATTTTCTTCACATTCATATAAAAAAAAGCTTAAAATTTTACACATTGAAGAAAAAATATAATTTATGCGCGTTTTTGTTTTCATCACTTCAATGTTCATTACATCGCTTTTTCTTTCAAATGGCGTTATTTTGTTTTCGCATTTTGCGTTGAAAACTTTAAATGTCTGTTGTCTTTTCAAATTGTTGCCACCAGATATTATCGCCCTGTGTTATATTTAAAGAAATTCAATAATGAAGATTCTGCATAAATTTATGTGTGTTTCTCGCATTGTGATAAAACAACGGTACCTAGAATCATTAAATTTTGAATAACGTAATCTTCCACGGCATCTTAAAGCCTAATTTGAAATTTGAATTTTTTTTAATTATCGATTTCATAATTTGTAACACTTTAACGAATTTTTGATTAACAAACTCAACGATTTCAAAGCGAGCAATGACAACACTGTACAGAGAAAAACGTTTTTATCTCCAGCGCGCAAGTCTGCGTATCGGAAATTCTTAAGATTTGTTAATTTTAAAATTTACGGTTTAGTGCGAAGAACATGATATCTAATAAATAACGGTAACTCACAAAACATTAAAAAAAGTCCCTTTGGGCGTAATGTAACATCTGAAATCTTTCAGATTTTTTTTTTCTCTATGACTTCCCCCCCCTTTAAATTTTCACGTACACATCGATGGCATCATCAGAAATTATGCAGATTTAGCTTACGTAAAAGATCGTTAAGTTAATATTATAATAGCAGTGTTAAGGAATATTTTATGCTAAGCTAATTTTGCGGTACCCGTTCATTTCTGCTAAAAAAAGTAGCTAGTAAAAGCGTATTACCAGTTTTATTACTCTATCGATATTAAAAAAATGCATTTCGATATTATGCATAATATCTATCGGTGACACAAGCAAAAATTATCACGGACAGATATGATTGTTAAACTCTTAAGCTATGTACAAAATCTGTTTAAAAATAAATAAATAAAAGAAAAAAGAAAAAAAATCTGAGTCTTCAGATTTTATATTACGCCCAAAGGAACGTTCTTCAACGTTTTGTGTGTTACCTTTATTTATTAAATATCATGTTTTTCACACCACACCTAAATCATAAAAATCAATTCAACACCATTATCGCAAAACAATTTTAAAATTAGCATATTTTTAGAATTTCCTATATACAGTCTCGCGCGCTGGAGATAATTTTTTTTTTTTTTTTTTTCCGCACAGTTTTGCCACTGCTGGCTTTGAAATCGTTGAGTTTGTTCATCAAAAATTCGTTAAAGTGTCACCAAATATGAAATCGATAATAAAACATACTTCAAATTCCTAATTAGAGCTTCCAGATGTTCATATTCGGTGGAAGATTACGTTATTCAAAATTTGATTGCTCTACGTACCTTTGTTTTATCACAATGCTAGAAACATACATACATTTATGCAGATTTTTCATTATTTAATTTCTTTAAATATAACACAGGGCGATAATATTTGGCGGCAACAATTTGAAAATTGAACTGACATTTAAAGTGAATCAAAGCAAAATGCCAAAACGAAATTAATAGCCCTTCTGGGTATAAGCTCTTTGGGCTAATAAAAAAGAGAAATTTAACAAATTAAGAAATAGGGCATTCTAATATAGAATACTTGAGCATTTTATAGAATGCCAGAAACTAGCCGGCAAGGTATAAAACGATTAAATATTTCACACGTTGCTTAGGCATTCTATAGAATGCGAAATGACAAACGGTAAAAGTACGAAATAATCTCCATATTTTATACAATTGCTAAGGAAAGTATATAATAGTTCGTGCAATATATTGGCAGTTGTAATGAGTGTGATAGAAGGTAGTCTCGACAGACTTGGAATTTCTGAAAAAATTTAAAACAACTACATATGAGATCACAGTTTTATGCTCTAAAAACTTGCTTGGAATTGAAAATATTCCTGACCACGATATTCCTCTCTGTCCATTTGCAGTTGCTCGGTCTAGAGGAATTGGCCAAAGACTCGTCAAGTGCACGTGTGAAACTAAGTGCCGAAATATGAAATGTTTTTGAGTAAAAAAAGTGAATGAAGTCAAGCCTATTATGTGATATATCCTTCCTCTAAGTTTTAATTAAAAGTACTCGAGTAATTTAATTTGCATGAATATACAATTCAGTTTGTTTATTTGACTACTGCGACTGTAAAACAAGTTTTTTCACTGATACCTTTTTCCCATGGAGCGATAAAAATTTTAGTTAATAATTTACTAAACGATGTCCTGTAGTCAAAATGAAGCCTGTGTTTTATTTGATACTATTTCTCAATTTTGTTCCCATTTCTAGAATCATGTTTAAGTCACTGACCTTTTAAAACATATTTAAACATACCATCTTCTTGCAATATATTGTATTATATTAGCAATAAAAAGTGATCTAAAACTTCCTTTCCTTCCTTTCTCGGGTTTTTCTGATCAGAGATAACTCATAAAATAAGTTAGACTATTTAATAACAAAGCACTCGAGGAAATTCTGCCAAATGTGTATAGCATTCAGAATAATTATTAATACTTCAGCTTACGTGTTCAAAATAAAGAATAATAGAGAATTTATTTTTCATTCTTTCTTACATGTTTCAATCGAGACAAAACAAAAAGATAGAATATTCAATAAAAAATCACGCGTGAGGTACATGATGAAGGGCTTTTATGGGAGTAGGTTTGTTAAAGGAAAAAAGCTGGCTTAAGAGTATGCATTTCTTCCCTTCCTCGTTTTTTCCATTCAAGGAATGCTTGAAACTTGGACATTGAACTGGATTATCTAAAATCTCCTCCTCATCAACTTGAAAATATCCAAAGCTTATTGCAATGAGGGAATAAATCTTTAAAATATGATTTTTATGAAAGAAGCTTTCGCTATCAGAAACTCTTCCAAATGAATTTAACTGTAAGATTCTTAGAAATGATTAAATTTGCCTGGTTATTGTTCTGTTGTGAAAAAATGATTTGAGAGCATTCATATTTAAAAAAAAGGATTTAAAGTGTAACTATAAATTTTCATTTCCCCAGATTTAAATCATCTTTGTTTTTGAATTCTTCCTCATAACACTCAGCCTCATAACACTCAGTCGAAGAACCTACTTAGTAGCACGTTGGTAATTTTAAATAACATTTCATACACGAGGTAAGATAAAAAAAATTTTACAATCTATTAAAATTCTAAAAGACATAGATAAAAATGTGACTGTCTGTCTTTCAGTATAACCCCCTTGTTTTTCAGAATATTTTTTAGACCTGCTAAGTAGTAGTTCTAAGGCTTTGAAATGTATTGTTAACAAAATAATCCATAACTGCTACCTTCCCGTTTTCATCATCATTACATCTTCTTCCAAAAAGCACAGATTCAAATTTAGAGAGCTATATGGAACGAGCAACGAGCTGTCTTTGGCAACGAGCAACTGAGCATTATTATGGAAGAGGTGAAACCCTAAGCTCAACATTCTACTTATTTTTTTTTTTTTTTCTTTAATTTCATTGCATAATTCAATACTTCTCTATAAAATCTTTCGCTAGTATTTCTTTACAGTCTCAAAAAACTATAGCTATAAGCTTTTTCATTTCTTGATTGCACTCCACAGCAGTTTTCTGCACTCTATGGTTTTCCTGTATGATAAGGGATTAAAATACAGAACCACAGTTACATTGACCATACAAATTGTTTTGATTTCTGTTGTAAAGTTGCTACACATGCTGTAATTTCTGAATCGCTGTGTGTCCCTATTTCTGAATCTGGATGAGAAGGCGGAGAATCCATTTTGAGGATAATTTGTTCAAGGGAAGGTGCTCATTTAGAACGCACAAAATAGTTGTTTTCGAGAGATCCGATCATACTATGTCCTTGACTTTTTAATCTTCTGCTGTCTCTCAGTGTTTGTCCCTTGACGAAAGCAAGGTTTTGCGATGTCAATGCCTTCAGTGACTGACCTTGATGAAGTGTATTGCCCATTCTTTCACTGCGCTATATGAAAGAAAGAAATCACTGTGAGTAAAGCCAAATGTATTCTTTTTATCATTAAGATGTAGACCTCCTGTAATAAAAAAAATTAAAGATTGCACTGTGCTCAGTTTTAAACATTTTATAGACATTTGCAAAGCATTTTGTCCAAATAACTGTTACAAAACAAAATGGTCGCATTAACAAAACTTTTAAATTTTCTCACTCAAATTTGCCACTGCATGTGTGCAAGATAAAATTATCTTCAAATGGTAAGCCGGAAAATTTTGAATCTTACTGGATATGTCCAGACATAATATATATTACAAAAACTTTTGATAATATTGCTTGTATTTTAGCCTGCATTCCGTCATAAAATCAGGTAAAAAATATACAAACTAATAAAGCTGATATAACTTGATTCAACAATTTTCATTACATACTTTTCAAAAATCAAACTCGCCCACAACTGCCGAGAAGCAATGTCGTGTAACACTGAGAGCTTGGTCCGGGGTTCAAACCCCTACGAACGGGCTGGCTGCATGGCCTTTTTGTGGTTTTCGCCATGTGTAACGTGTATATGAGGCAACTTCCCTTAGAAGATCTTCCATGAAGGCATCCCTTCTCTTACGCAGATAGCTCTCGAGTGCTTTGCCTTACTTAAATAAAACCAAACTAAACCAAATATTAAATTCAAAGATTTTTATATTTATGCTTGTAAGTACAGGAAATAGGTTTTATGGATATATATATAAGCATAAATTTTACATTGCAAATAATATAATTAAATTTACATGCTAATGCTTTAAAATTGTCACGAATTTCAAAGTTAATAACACTATATAGGTCCTTAACTTCACAAAATTTAGAAATAAAGTAACCAGAATAAAGATATTATCAAATATAATCCTTAAATCCCTCATTACTTCGAAATTTTACACGTAATCGTTCTTATCCCATATTCAGGAGGTAAAATAGGCTTAAAAGTAAGATTTTCATCAAAATGATAAATCTTATAATTTGCTGCGAAGATCACGAAAGTCCTTGAGCACTTTTATTCCAAGCAAAGGCATGAAGGACAAAGAGTTCGAATCTTTCCAACATCTGCAATTCGATCGGAGCTCTTGCCACTTGCTGTTAGTAAATTTTTGGTGGATTTTAATTGTGTAGTTCTTTTTTTCTTAATTTTACGGTCGACAGAGCAATCCTTGACCCCAGACGCCGAGGGGCTTCCGGTAAACAACGCCCTCTAGTCAGAAGATAGGCTACCGGTGAAATTTGGCACAAGGACGACAACGAAATTGAAGTAGTTCGTGTTATTTTGGTAGAAAAGAAAGAATCTATGATCTAAATTCCAGAGGCATTTCGAAGCAGTCATTGGTTGGAAATATGTGTAGACGAACGACTGTCTTTTCACTTTTAGTGTTGATGGGATATTATTCTTAGCTGCAGACATTTTGTACAGTTGTTGCTATGCGTTTTTATAAAAAGTCAACGAATTTTTTATTTAAAAAATTAACTGATCATCTGTTGTTTAATTTATGCCGATTTCGTATTTAAAGTATGTCTGAAATTTTGTTTCATGCAAAATAGTTTTGAAATAAATGAGATGTAGGTATAATGACACCTGAAGGAATTTAAAAGCATTCAGGCTGAATATTCAAAGTCAGAGTATAAACTAATTACTATGCACTTTAAATGCACTACTTTACTCTGCACTTATTGAATAATCGTATAAAATAACTAAATTTTACTACTATTACTACTATAATTTTATTAATATTACTACTTTATAACTATTACTACTGCAATTATTCTATACTATTAACCATAATATCAAATAATTATGCCATGACAACATTAAAGCTATTAGCCAGCATTTATGCATATTTAATTGGGTCGATTTTTCTGTTTGCATTGATTCCAAGGCTATTTCGGAAAGGATTGAAATCATGGACACACACAAAAAAAAAAAAAAAAAAAAAAAAAAAAAAAAAAAAAAAAAAAAAAAATTCATGTCTGGATCCCGCCTTCTACCCAGCTAGGTTTTTTTTTAAACCTTCAAAGTTATTTGCGATGAAAATATATATCTAGCAACTACCTCCCATTTTTTTTTCAAAACTGCATGTAGAATTTTTTAAATCAATGTTTAAATAAATTTTATTAATTTTTTTAAATAAAATCATTGGTCATTTAGACGTCCCATCACAGAATCTCAATCTGTATAGAACGAAAAGTGGAATAATTGGATAGTACGAAAAGTAATGCTTTAATGAAATTTATTTATTTTATTCAAAATCGTTAAATAGGAAATTTTTGGTGAATTTTCTCAAATCGATCGATGTGTTGAGAAAAATGACGATTTCCAAATCAAATTTGCTAAACAGAAATTCACATACACTGTAGTCTTACACCACTGGATAAATCGAAAGACTTTAAAAGAAAACGAACTTAATGAGCTTCACTTCTGTGCATATTAAGGGAAAAAATTTACCGCGTTCATAAACAGTAACTTTTTTAGCTTGTATTTCTTCTTCTAGGGACTAAAAAATATAAAATAAAATATAAATTTATAATTTTTTTAAAATAATATGGTTGTAATTAAATGCAGCAAGTAAAAGATATCTCTTTCAGCTATCATCTATCACATTCTTGGCTATACTTGATTAAAACTAAGTTACATTTAATCAATTAAAATATTGCAGTCAATGTTAACAGATCAAGGATTTTGTTTTTAATCCAATCTTATTAAACTTTATCGCTTGTTAAAAGTAACACATTGTTAATGAAATTAAGTTTTTTACGGTTATTTAACAAAAGTCTTACGTTACAGTCCACAAAAATCAATAAATTCGTACAAATAACGAGCTTTGTATTTCAAAAAAGGAAAAAGAGTTTTGAAGGTTGGAATGAAAATAAGACCCATCATTGTTTTCTTAATACAGGCAGAAATGAAATCATCAAGTAACTTTAAAAGGCTTAGTTACTTGTCAAGAAACTTAATGACTCTTTCGTAATTATTAATTAAATGTTTTCTTAGTTCGGTCAATTATTAATTAATTTAACTTTTAAAAAGATCAAAACATTGAAATACGAGTATATTGCAGCTGTTTTTAATAACAACAAAAATATATATGAGGATGTATTTATTCGTAAAATGATGTTGTATGACTTTAAATAAACTATATTTTAAGAAAAAAGAGTTGACTGAATATCAAAAGTTTTAATCAAAAAATCAACTTATTTTAATGCAGAGTTTCATATTTTAGAAGATTAACTATGGTATTTAGACGCAAGAACAGCAAATGCACGTAAAGATTGTCCGAACGAACAGCGTAAAACAAATAAAGCTCTCACTTAACTCACATTGCAATCAGCTCACTGTCTCTTCGTAGGGTAATAATTCTGACGTTTTGTTTTCCAGAAAAGTCGGACATTGCTTTTCATACACTGGTCGGGAAGGGTCGAACCCATCGGTCATTTAGCCGTCCCATCATAGAAAGCGTAGCCCAGGGTGCACTGCAAAGGATACACCAACGCAACACGTACAGTAACTGTGGGTGGGACAATACAATCATGCGTGACTTCTTCACGATTCGAGTTTTGGCAGACGGCTTCTTACGACTATGCCACAATGCAGAAACTCCGAAGTTCCGAATTCTAAAGGCTGTAAAATGAGAATTACTAGTCAAAAACAACACCATTTTCAATCCATAATAAAAAATAAAAAAAAATTTAAAAAAATGTTACATAATAATAATGATATTCACTTTTACGTTTTGTTTAAGTATACAGAAAATATTACTTTCATTTGCACGCAATATTTTTGTAATTAATGATAATTTGCTGAACTTAATGTGTAAAAATTACTATAACCGAATATTCTTTTTGCGCCAGACTCTCAGAACATCAACGAGGAATTCTACTGAATTTATGAACTCTTCCAGACCGTAAGGAGACTTGTTTGCATAGATTAGATAGCAGTCAGTTTAAATCATAAATAGCGGTAAGGATTTTAGTGTCAGTCAGGTTTAGGTATCGGTCAGGGATTAAAATTTTTACGTACCGGTAAGGGAAAGTTCAAGTATCTGTAAGAAATTTTAAAAATGATAATCTAAAACGCTAATGAGTCAGAAAAAGGATTTACTTATAAGTAATGTTTTATACCATTCCAGCTGCTATTTTAGTACTCCCTGTTGTAACAAATTATTTTATTATGCCTTTGTATAAATAACATATTGTATGTTGTGTATATGAGTTAATTTATTTGTAGATTTTACGCTTTAATTGTCTATCATTAGTTAATTTATAGAAAAACTAGTTATTCTATGAAATAATTACTTAAAGAGTGGAATTACTAATTTATTATACATTTTAACTGATTTGATAAACTGTTTCACGGCGTAACTGAATTATACACTTTGACGATAACATATTCAGCTGTTTCTACTGGTTCAAGACGACTTTAGAGACTATGGAGTTCTATCCTGAAGTTGCTATTTTTCGGTTCCTACATGTGTTGCATAAGTTTTTAAATAACCTTTCAGTTCCTTTTATGCAGTGCTTTTAATGAAATTGTGTCCAGTTTAATATTTAAATGCGTTCCCATCTTTCGTATATGAGATCCAAAAATTATCCAAAACTTATTAAAATTCTGGAGGAAAAAACTTGTAGTGTTTTAACTAAAGTTATTTAACCACTAGAATCTAGAAGGACTATGAAACGACTACTGCTACTACTCGCCGCTGAGGGCAGGCTCCCAACACGGGATTTTCATCTACTCATCGGAGTTGAGCTACTTCCGGCCAAACCCCAGCCAAGGGCCTAGGAGTACAGACAGCATTATTGTGTTTTTAAAGCAAAGGAAAAAAAAAAAAAAAAACAGTAATAACAAACAAGCCTCTTGAAGAAGGTACAGTTTTCAGCGAAGAGACATTTATTAAGTTGTTCTACTATTATACAGAATAATTCCGGAAATGACACCAAAAGTGAAATAACATAATAACATGAGTATATAAGACTCTTGAAGAGAGTATATGTTTACAATGTAGAATACATAAGGTGGAGGCACACTATTGTAGACAATGATATCCATCTAGATAAAAATGCAGTTAAATGTAAATATAATAATGTTAACACTAATTTGTAAAGCATATGTTCAAAACATTTAAAGCCTACATTTCACTTCAAAGTGCTCAATTACATTTTAACAATTACATATATTACAATCGTTTTATCCTACAAGTATCCATCAAGAATTGCTATAAAATGCTGGGCTGCAAAAAGGATAAAAGCAATAGTTAGCTATATTAATATACAGATAAATGTAATCAAAATGCAAAACGACTAGTCGCTTAGTTCTGTTGCATAAGTAGCAACTTAAAGTAAAATACCATTTTATTTTAACTCAAATATATTTACATACGGCCCCACTTAGGCGTGCAGGAAGTCAGCACTTATGGCTTGAACTTAAAAATAGAAAACGTAGAACTAACCTAATGCTAAGTAGAATAATCAACCTAAGCTGACAGAGTTGTTAACGCGTAGTTGGCTGTTAATTAAAATCCCCAGGGTAGACTAATAGAGACATAATAAGCACGGCCGTGAAATAGCAAGCTTTAGCTCGTAACAAAAATGTGGCCTAAAGGCAGAACACGCTGTAGCTCAAGTAGCTTAGACCTCAACTTAAATAGTAGTTTCTACCCTGTTTTGCATAAAGTGTGAACCTGGATTCTGGCAGAAAAACTTAGGTAGGAAAATAAGGAAGAAAAGGAAAGCTATTTCCAACTAAAAATTAACTGTTAGAAAAATAACGTAAGACCCTACAAGCTGTTAATCCAAAACATTTATTTTCCGTAAAATTTAGGGAAAAAATCAAATGAAATCATTAAATCTAAATACTTAACTTGATACAGCTCGATAGAATTAGATTATAGGAAATGAACGTGAGAGCTTTCTACCTATACGGATATCTTCGTGGAGAACACTTCAAACGAAACCTCGTATTTAAGTTATAGGCAGAGAAAACCATGAAAATTCCCATGCAGCCAACACATACGCTAGGATTTGAACTCTGATCGAACTATTAGTGTTGACTGAGCTTACCGCTCGGCCTTATAGTTTGAATTTTTGGAACTAAAATTATAGAAGCATATATTGATTCGTGCATTGTTTTGTTCGGCATGGGGATAGAGAGGCCCACTTCTATAGCGTCGGCCCCAGATTCGAGTCTCCGAGAAGGTCTGGATGATTTTAAGTGTATAGTACCTCGGCGACATGGAAACTTTAAACATTAGCGAGCCGAAAATTTCTTTCGAGTAATTTATTGGTAGAGGAAATAGGGGGAAAGCACAAAATCTTTTCACCGGAGTTGTCTTCAACGGAACTGAGGTGGAGCTGTGTGATTAATGTGGTGGAATTACAATACAAGCAACAAATAGTGAAATTATTTTTTTGTCCTATCCATTTCTTTCTCTCCTGTCTAATCCCTCTTCTTCTGGATGTAAAATCGGTCTTGTCCTGTGGGTCTGTAGGAAAGTTTTCGGTTACGAGATGGCTAAATTGTAGAGTTGCGCGCCTCCAACCTGCACGCAACAAAGTGGTGACTGCTGAAACTGGAAATTAGACAGAGTCTTGCGAAGAGTTTAAGTCCCTTTTTATTCAACTTAAGAAATTACAATTGCGTGCTCTTGACGCTCACAAACTACGCCGACCCGGCGGTAAAATAAAAATAAGAACCTGAAAAGAAATAATAACAAGATTCTAACTACGAGGCTCTCTAAACGTAACTGATCTCACCGCGTTCTACAATACCGCTGATAATTCAGCAAACTCTGAATATCCCGTTGAAAGATTAACAATTCTCCGAGGCAAGCACACAAGCCGAAACACACAGGCGTGGTTCTTCAATTTCTGACTAACTACCTCCGCGCTCATGAAGTAAGAAAAGCGCACCTTCGAACTCGTTTCCTTTCTATTTAACTCAGAATACTTCCGCTGATAATTTGAATCCTTGCGCGTTCTACTAAAATTTACATACTCTGGCATTAACAGTTGCAGGGGAAAGTAAGGCTTGACAGGAAAGATAGTTTAAACTTAAAATAAATGTTAGTTAAAATAAATATAAACCCTACAAAGGTAACACTCAAAACGTTAAAAAAACGCCCCTTTGGACGTAATTTAAAATCTGAAACATTTCAGATTTTTTTTTTAATATATTTTTTTTTATGTTAAACGCAAACATTTTTTTTCACTGAATGAATTTCTTAAAATTAAAATCAAATATGAATTATAAAGTCAGATGCAGAATTATTATACAGACACGTGCTCACACATTATTGTACACATGATAGGGATAATTTTACGAGTTCCATATCACCTTCATTTTAATCATTTATCTTTTCCTTACAGAATATTATGTAAATAAATACAAAAATTAATTAATAAAAAAATACCAGTTTTTCCGATATTTGAAAAACATCACTTACAGTATTTAACCAAACTACAATTTGTATTCATTAAATAGTGTGTAACAGACTCGAGAGTTCATTATATTATTATGATATTATTACCCTTTTTACTGCTTAAAGTAGTTGTAGTAAAATATAATTTATTGTATTGGTAGTAGGAAAAAAATAATTTATTGTACGATCATGAGATTCTTGTCTGCGTATAATGATAAAATTTAGATGATGATTGCAGAGGATGCTGAAGAAATAAATGTGTGATAAAATTTATTGAAGTGTATGGTAATAATAAAAATTTAATGTGCGGTGTTGACTTAGAAAATTGGCTGAATGCCCGGGGTATTCTTCCCCTCCCCCCAATAAATCCATAGCCATTGCCTTGCAGATGACCATTCAAGCATAATTCAAATCTAAATAATTATAAGGGTTCGATGATTTGAAGCAAACATTTCAGCTTTTATGGTTTTTAACAATGGAAGCAAAACAGAAGAAGGAGCAGGCAAGCGTTAGATGAAGGAAGATTAAGCTAAAGTCACATCACATTAAGAATGGCGAAGTTAGTTACTTTCGCAATAGAGGGATATATCATCCCTTTGTTTCTGTTAGTTTAGATAAGTTTGATTTAATTATGATTGGATTAAAATTTTTGATAACGGGTTAACTGTATATTTAACATACATAAAGGGTTATGTAAATATATATAACGGTACATGATTTCAATTTTTCCGTTATGTAAATATATGTATGTGTCATTATTTATAATCATATGACGAAAATCAATTTTGAAATGACGCTCTTCAGAATGTTTTATTATAAGAAAATTAATATTTTTTAGGATAGAATGATGAAATAACCAAAAAAAAAAAAAAAAAAAAAAAAAAAAAAAAAAAAGATATTTAAGGCACTGCAAGAATTAAAAGTTGGAATTTGTCTTACATATTCATTACCTTATATATAGTATAGTGTGTAGCTCATTAAATTATGCAATGCCAATATATATCATTTGAAAAATCTATAACATGTAAACATTAATAGAAAAGCGATTATGTATTAATATGATTACAATTCTGCATTTACTTCATGGATGAGCCATGATAAGCACTTTTCTAAAAACAGAATAAACAGCGCGATGATGTTGTGCTATGCGATTTCAGACAGGGAATTTGTCTTACTATATGTTGCTGTTTCAGTTAGTTTTTCA